ATCAAACCCATTCCCATTCTTTGATTCATCTCACTCTTCTTAAAAACCTCTCAATATACTTCTATTAAGATGCGCGTTATATAAAATCTTAAAAGCGATATAAAACTCACTCCCCAAACCATCTATACCTAGACTTTTGTTTCTATTTAATTCGGTTACAGGTTTTTTAATCTCTTCCTCTGATAAACAACAAACATAGGTCAAGATTTTCCAATCGAATTCTTTAAAACGTTTATTGGAAAATTAGCTCCATTGCTTTTGGCTATGTTCAACGAATCTTTGGAATGTGGGTCTTTGCCTCCAACTCTGACACAAGCCACGATAGCTCTGCTCCTAAAGGAGGGTAAGGATCCATCCTCCTGTGGTTCTTATAGACCGCTATCACTGCTGAATGCAGATGTAAACGTGTTGGCGAAAGTAATGGCATCTCGGTTAGAGAATGTACTTCCTTATATTATATCTGAAGATCAGAACGGTTTTATAAAGGGACGTCAAATGTTTTTCAATACCCATACACTCTTTAATATAATTTATTCAAAGCATTCAGCTGTTCACCCTGAGATTGTGATTTCATTAGATGCTGAAAAAGCATTCGACAAAGTTGAATGGGAGTATTTGTTTGCAGTCCAGAGGAAGTTTGGATTTGGGGACAAGTTTGTTTCTTGGATTAGCCTCCTTTACTCAACCCCTTATGCTAGAGTTCAGACTAACCATACTTATTCGGATTATTTTGCGCTCGGACGAGGGTGTCGCCAAGGGTGTCCTTTATCCCCACTGCTTTTTGCTGTTGCCATCGAGCCGCTCTCTATTGCACTAAAATCTTCCTCCTTGTTTAAAGGAATAGTTTGATACGGGGTAGAATACAAATTGTGGCTATATGCTGATGATTTGTTATTGTATGTAACTGATCCTACCGCCTCTATGCCTTCTGTCTGGGATGTTCTGGAGTCTTTTGGTGTTGTCTCTGGTTATAAACTAAATTTAGATAAAAGCGACTGTTTTCCTGTCAATACTCCAGCTCTGTCTCTCCAACAGTCAGATCTACCGTTTCGATTTAGTCAGTCAGGTTTTAAATACCTAGGTATCAACGTGACACGTTCTCTATCTAATCTTCTATCAGCTAACTTTACTCCCCTTATCTCAAAGGTTAAATCTAACATTCAGAGTTGGGGTAACTTACCACTTTTCCTAATTGGCAAGATCAACGCCGTCAAAATGAATATTTTACCGAAGTTTCTTTTCTTGTTCCAACAAGTGCCTCTTTCTCTCCCAAAATCATTCTTTGATTCATTGGATAAGATAATTAGAATATTTATTTGGGGAGGGAAGCCACCAAAGGTTAGTAAATCTTTATTGCAGAAATGTAAACTTAGGGGAGGACTTGCATTACCCAATTTTCAATTCTATTACTGGGCTGCACACATCCATAAACTTTGTTACTGGGTTCAATCTCCTGGATCTTCTTGGTCTAAATTGGAATTATCTTCTTGTAGGGAATCCTCTTTACCTGCTCTACTTTACACCTCTTTACCTACAAAACTTTCCCAATATACTGATAACCCTGTTGTCCTCAGCACACTTAGGACTTGGTATCAATTTAGACGACATTTTAAATTTGTAGGTGCATCCTCTTTGTGTCCTTTAGTGAACAACCATCTATTTCCCCCATCGTGTATGGACTCCTCATTTTCAGTGTGGTATGACAAGGGTATTAAACAAGTTAGAAATTTGTATTCTGATGGTGTGTTTGATAGCTTTGCCAATTTGGCATCCACTTACGATCTCCCCTTGACACATTTCTTTCGGTACTTTCAAATACGGAATTTCGTTTCTAGATGTTTTCCTGATTTCCCTTCTGCTCCTCCTGAACAGGCTTGGGAAGACCTGTTTTCAAATAACCCACATCAGAGAGGAATGATTTGTAAGATTTATGATTTTATTTTGACGCAAGGTAGTGGGTCGAGTAATAAAATTAGGAATGCGTGGGAAACAGAATTAGGAGTACAAATAAGTGAGGGGTGTTGGGAACATGCTATAGGGAGGGTACAGACTACCACTTCTTGTGCTCGTCTTGGACTTATACAGTTCAAAGTTTTAAATAGAGTCCATCTGTCCAAGTCGAGATTGTCTGTGATGTATCCGGATGTAGAGGACAAGTGTGATAAATGCCATGGCTCTCCCTGTCATCTTGGCCATATGTTTTTCTTCTGCCCTGAACTCCATGGTTTTTGGTCTGGCTTTTTTACCATCATGTCCACTATTCTCAGGGTACATTTAAAGCCTTGTCCACTGATTGTGATATTTGGGATCCCTCAAGCTTCAATTCCTTTGAGCTCGATACAAAAGGATGTTATTGCTTTCACATCCCTTATAGCAAGACGTTCCCTACTGTTACATTGGAAGTCTGCTAAATACCCATCTATCTCTCAGTGGATAAAGGACGTGATGTTTTTCTGAAACTCGAGAAAATAAGATATACGATGAATGGTTGTACAGATAAGTTTTTTTCATAAATGGCATCCCTTTATTGAATACTTTATGGAGTTACAGACACTACCCACTTAAAGGTTGGTGCCTGTTGTTGAATTTTATAATATCTCTATAACCGGTGACAGTTAATGGGTAGCCATGATGAGCCGGAGGGGTGGGTTGTGGTTTCAATTTTGTTTTCCTTTGTATAAAAAGAAAACAATCTTTGAATATTTACTGCTGTTGCTCAATTTGTTTGTATTTTTGGGAAATGGTGGGGAGGACAGAACAGAAAAGGCGATTTAGATATGCTTAGCAGTTCAACAGAAATGTTCATCAGAAGGTCAGCAAAAATGTTTAATAAAAAAGAAACATAGAAATGTAGAAATGTTGTGTAGAAATGTTCAGCAGAAATGTTCAATAAAAATTCAACTTTAGAAATGTTCATTAGAAATGTTTAGCAGAAATGTTTTGCAGAAATGTATAGCAGAAATATTTAACAGAACTGGTCATTAGAAATGTTTAGCAAAATTGTTTAGCAGAAATGCTCAGTAAAAATGTTCAGTAGAAATGTAGAAATGTTCATCAGAAGTGTTCAGCAGAAATGTTCAATAAAAATGAAACATAAAAAAAAAACATAGGTCAAGATATTTATCCACAAACAGCACACAAGTCACAGCAGATCAAATATTACATTTACGTTTATTCATTAAGTAGACGCTTTTATCCAAAGTGACTTACCAAAGAGAAAATACAAGCAAAGTACTATCTGATCTCCAGCCATAGTCTTTACAAACATATCAGCAACATTCTGTTGACATAATTGCTCTGAGGGTACTCAGCACATGTTGGTAATCTGGCACAGAAGAATGCGAGTTTGGGGTTTGAATTTGTGAGCACAAATTATGGCATGAACCCATGTCATGGGTATTTTCTAGGTATTTAAATTTAGCCCAGTTTCAGTGTCAATTTGGCCAAATGAGTAGAAACATGGGGACCCTGATGACGTTGTTTTCAACAGGGGTCAACAAAGCATTCCATCTAAGATGGAGAGTAGGGAATTGCCATATTGAAAAAAATACCCTCTCGAATAGTAAAAATCAGCAATTCACTGGAAAGCAAATGACTCTGGAGGGACTTGAACCCACAACCTTTGAATAACTCCAATGTTGAACCTAGAAGTCCAATGCGCTATCCATTGCGCCACAGAGCCCAGGTAACAAGAACATGTTAAGTAGCAAAGGGGTTTCCTCTCAGATTCTTCCAAATTGAGCGATGGCGTTGCACTCAGCGTTTGCTGGTGTTTACTCCTTTCTGTAACAAAGGGATGGAAGGCGTTGGCCTTGAAAGAAAAGAAGACTCCTGCATCAGGCACTGCTGGGATTTGAACCCAGGACCTCCTGTTTACTAAAGAGGCATTTTAACCAACTAAGCCAGGCACCATGGTGTTTAAGTTCAGTGTTGTTGAACTGATTGTTGACGCTTAATCAAGCTAAGCTGTATGGCAATGGAATGCAGACATAGAAGACACATTAAGGCATCTGCTCAACCAGCCACGAAATGCACAATCTGTGGTGTCAGATTCAGAAAAAGACAGCCCAGACCAGTGGTCACCAATCCTGTTCCTGGAGTTCCTCCTTTGAAGACCTTAGCTCCATCTAAAGTAGCCTAGACATAGGCATCCTACACAGATGCTGATCTGGCATATGCAGGTATGTTGCTTGTGACAAAATGTGGCTCCTACCGCGGGTTTGAGGAATGCTATGATACTCAACCTCTGATAAACTACAAACATAGGTCAAGATATTTATCCACAAACAGCACACAAGCCACGGCAGATCAAATATTACGTTTACGTTTATTCATTAAGCAGATGCTTTTATCGAAAGCGACTTACCAAAGAGAAAATACAAGCAAAGTACTATCTGATCTCCAGCCATAGTCTTTACAAACATATCAGCAACATTCTGTTGACATAATTGCTCTGAGGGTACTCAGCACATGTTGGTAATCTTGGCTAAGAAGAATGCGTTAGCGCGTTTTGGGATGTGTGAGCACAAAGTATGGTATGAACCCATGTCATGGGTATTTTCTAGGTATTTAAATTTAGCCTAGTTTCAGTGTCAATTTGTCCAAATGAGTAGAAACATGGGGACCCTGATGACGTTTTTTTCAACAGGGGCCAACAAAGCATTCCATCTAAAATGGAAAGTAGGGAATTGCCATATTCAACAAAATACCCTCTCTCGAATAGAAAAAATCAGCAACACACTCCACCTGAAATGACTCTGGAGGGACTTGAACTCACAACTTTTGAATAGCTCCAATGTTGAACCTAGAAGTCCAATGCCCTTGCGCCACAGAGCCCAGGTACCAAGGAGGAAAGGTGTTAAGAAGCAAAGGTGTTTCATCTCAGATTCTTCCAAATTGAGTGAGGGCATAGCACCAATCCGCGCCTGCTGGTGTTTACTCCTTTCTTTAACAAAGGGATGGAAGGCATTGGTCTTGAAAGAAAAGAAGGCTCCTGCATCAGACACTGCTGGAGATTTGAAACCAGGATCTCCTAATTACGAGGCAAGCACTTCAACCAACTAAGCCACAGCACCACAGTGTTTAAATTCAGTGTTGTTGAACTGATTGTTGACTCTTAATCAAGCTAAGCTGTATGCCAACGGCAACAGACATAGAAGACATATGAAGGCATCTGCTCAACCATCCACGAAATGCACATTCTTACATGTCAGATTCAAAAAAAGATAACCCAGACCATTGGTCACCAACCCTATTCCTGGAGATACTCCTTTGAAGACCAATGAGTAGAAACATGGGGAACTTGATGATGTTGTTTTCACCTGGGGCCAACAAAGCATTCCATCTAAGATTGAGAGTAGGGAATTTACATATTCAACAGGATACCCTCTGTGGTATCGAAAAAACTAACAAGCAACACTCATGTGCAAGCAAATGACTCTGGAGTAACTTAAACCAAGAACCTTTGAGTAGTTCCGGGAGGAACCGCGAAGTCCAACTCCATGGCACCACAGAGCCCAGGTTATAAGTAGCATATGTTTTTCATCTCAGGCTCTTCCAAATTCAGTGAGGGCATAGCGCTTTCCTGTTTTTGTTTACTAAACAGGTGTTTTCCTGTTGACAGCACTTGAAATCTACACATAACACATGTCTGAAAGAAAGCAACCTTAGCACGAACCTGAATCCACAAGCTTTTAACGGCATCCAAGTCAAGGCTAGACTTTACCATAAAGTGCTCCCAGAACCAATCTTGGCTTGCTTGTGTGGTGTGTCATCTCAGGCTGTTAGAAAGGCATAGCAGTTGCACAAACAGAAGAGTCTTTTATCAGGCACTGAAGAAATTCGCACTCTGTATCTCTTCTATGATTGATGGGCAATTTTGTGTCCGTGCAATGCATCTCCCTTTCTCTCCCAGGATTCGTTAGGAAGCACCTACAAAAGAGTTCTTGTTGATAGCAGTTGAAATTTACATGCAAAACACGTCTGAAAGCAAACAAATATAGTAGGATCTGAAACCCCACGAAGTTGTTAATTGAATCAAGCCATGAAGCCACCACCCAATGCAACACAGACCAAATCACGCTTGTTGGTGTTTTCTCTTTTTCTGGAATAAAGGGATTGAAAACATTGCTAATAAAAAGTCATGCATCAGGCACTGCTGGGATTTGAACCCAGGATCTCCTGTTTACAAGACAGGTACTTTAACCAACTAAGCCACAGGACACATTGGTCTTAAATGCCATCTTTCTTAACTGATTGTTGACTCTTACTTAAGCTAAGCTTTACGCCAATGGCTTGCGGACATAGATGACATATTAAGGCATCTACTCAACCAGCCATGAAATACACATTCTGTCGTGTCAGATTCAGAAAAAGATAACCCAGACCATTGGTCACCAACCCTGTTCCTGGAGATACTCCTCTGAAGACCATAGCACCAGCTAAAGTATTTTAGACATAGGCATCATACACAGATGCTGATCTGGCATATGCATACATGTTGTTTGTGCCAGAATGCTGCTCCTACCACTGATTTGAGACATTCTAGAATTCTCAACCTATGATAAACCACAAACATAGGTCAAGATATATTTCCACAAACAGCAGACAAGCCCCAGCAGATCAGAGACACTATCTGATCTCCAGCCATGGTCGTTACACACATATCACCAAATTTCTGTTCACAGCAATTGCACTGAGGGAACACAGCACATGTTTCTAATCTTTGCTAAGCAGAATGCTAGTTTGGGGTTGCGATGTGTGAGCACAAAATTATGGCGGGAATCCATGGCATGGGTATTTTCTAGGAACTTAAATTTAGTACAGCTTCAGTGTCATTTTGGGCAAATGAGTAGAAACATGGGGAACGTGATGACGTTGTTTTCACCTGAGGCCAACAAAGCATTCCATCTAAAATGGAGTGTAGGGAATTTCCATATTCAACAGGATACCCTCTATGGTATCGAAAAAACTAACAAGCAATTCCCATGTGCAAGCAAATGACTCTGGAGGAACTTAAACGAACAACCTTTGAGTAGTTCCAGTGCGGAACCTCGAAGTCCAAGTGCTCTCCATTGCACCACAGAGCCCAGGTTATAAGTAGCAAAGCCGTTTCATCTCAGGCTCTTCCAAATTCAGTGAGGGCATAGCGCTTTCCTGTTCTTGTTTACTAAACAGGTGTTTTCCTGTTGAAAGCACTTGAAATCTACACGTAACACATGTCTGAAAGAAAGCAACCTTTTCACAAACCTGAATCCACAAGCTTTTAATCGCATCAATGTCAAGGCTAGACTTTACCTTCCAGAGGCCCACCGAACCAATCTTGGCTTACTTGTGTGGTGTGTCATCTCAGGCTGTAAGTAAGGCATAGCAGTTGCACAAACAGAAGAGTCTTTTATCAGGCACTGAAGAAATTCACACTCTGGATCTCTTCTATGATTGATGGGCAATTTTGCGTCCCTGCATTGCATCTCCCGTTTCTCCAGGATTCGTTAAAAAGCAAGTACAAAACAGTTCTTGTTGATAGCAGTTAAAATTTACATGCAAAACACGTCTGAAAGCAAACAAATATAATAGGATCTGAACCCATGAGGTTGTAATTGAATCAAGCCATGAAGCCACCACCCAATACGACACAGACCAAATCAAGGCTTGCTGGTGTTCTCTCTTCTCTGGAGCAAAGGGATTGAAAACATCGCTATAGTCATGCATCAGGCACTGCTGGGATTTGGACCCAGGATCTCCTGTTTACTAGACAGGGGCTTAAACCAACTAAGCCACAGCACCACCGGTCTTAAATTCCATCTTTCTAAACTGATTGTTGACTGTTACTCGAGCTAAGCTTTACGCAAATGGCTTGCGGACATAGATTACATATTAAGGCATCTACTCAACCAGCCATGAAATGCACATTCTGTTGTGTCAGATTCAGAAAATGATAACCGAGTCCATTGGGCACCAACCTTATTCCTGGAAATACTCCTTTGAAGACCATAGCACCAGCTATAGTATTCTAGACATAAGCATCCTACACAGATGCTGATCTGGCATATGCATACATGTTGTCTGTGCCAGAATGCTGCTCCTACCACTGATTTGAGACATGCTAGGATACTCAACCTATGATAAACCACAAACATAGGCACTGAAGAAATTCGCACTCTGGATCTCTTCTATGATTAATGGGCAATTTTGCGTCCCTGCATTGCATCTCCCGTTTCTCCAGGATTAGTTAAAAAGCAAGTACAAAACAGTTCTTGTTGATACCAGTTGAAATTTACATGCAAAACACATCTGAAAGCAAACAAATATAATAGGATCTGAACCCATGAGGTTGTAATTGAATCAAGCCATGAAGCCACCACCCAATGCGACACAGACCAAATCAAGGCTTGCTGGTGTTCTCTCTTCTCTGGAGCAAAGGGATTGAAAACATTGCTATAGTCATGCATCAGGCACTGCTGGGATTTGAACCCAGGATCTCCTGTTTACAAGACAGGTACTTTAACCAACTAAGCCACAGGACAATTGGACTTAAATGCCATCTTTCATAACTGATTGTTGACTCTTACTTAAGCTAAGCTTTACGCCAATGGCTTGCGGACATAGATGACATATTAAGGCATCTACTCAACCAGCCATGAAATGCACATTCTGTCGTGTCAGATTCAGAAAAAGATAACCCAGACCATTGGTCACCAACCCTGTTCCTGGAGATACTCCTTTGAAGACGATACTTGTGAAAGAAAACAAATATGGCAGGACCTGAATACACAAGCTGTTTATAGAATCAAGCTTAGATGTCACCATCCAATGTGACAGAACCAATCTCTGCTTGCTGATGTTTCATGGCAGGAAGTAACAAAGACATGGCTCTTGCAACAAGAGAAGAGACTTGTAGTAGGCACTGATGGGATTTGAACACGGTTTACAAGACAGTTGCTTTAGCCAACTAAGCCACAGTGCTATGGCTACTTCCATCTGCATAGAATGTTGGTTCTTAATCAAGCTACGCGTTACTCAGATGTCATGCACACTTAGATGGCCTGTTAAGGCATCTACTTCACCAGCCATGCAATGCACATTCTGGGGTAGCAGATTGTGAAAAACATAGCCTAGACCAGTGGTCACCAACCCTGTTCTTGGAGAGCTTCTTTTGAAGACCTTAGATCCATCTAAAGTCACCTAGACAAAGGCATCCTACACAGATGCTGTGTGAAGGGTGAGGGTCTGTGCAAAGAAGAGCACACTCAACAACCACGACGAGATTTGAACACGCAATCTTCTGATCTGAAGTCGGACATGCTACCATTGCACCACGAGGTCACAGCAAGAAAGCCATAGCGCATCATGGTGCAAGGCATACTTGTTCATGGTTGCACTGATCAAGACACATTGGAACTCAGAGACAAGTGGTGGGCTGTGACTTTTGTGACTAGAGTCTGACATCTGGGCAAGAGTTTCTTCAGAAGACAAGGCACAAGCCCTTTCATGGCATAACCTGACTGGCTTCCCCTTCCCTTGACTTTAAGGGAGATTTTCAAGCTCAAATGGCAGATCTCACCTCAGTGCATGAGAGTGAAGCGTGGAAAACTTATACCTGAAGCACAACTTAGAGACTCAACTGCCTATGTGATAGAACCATGGTTCAACTTTCTTTTGGGTAACTTCACACATTTACCACTTGTACGAGGCCTTTGTGTCATTATATGTGTCAGATGATGTGTCAGAATCAGTGCAACCGGTGGAATAAAGCTGCTTCTTGCGAGTCATACAGAGCCAAGATTGCACGTCTGTTTGTGAGTGGAACTAACTTGTTTGATAGTCATTTGGTCTCCTTGTGCAGAAAAGACAAGTTTAATTAAATATGCTGATGCTATTCAAATTATTCTCATACCATGACAAGCAAGGCATTCTTTGAACCAAGGCAAGACTTCAGAGTTAGCCTCATGAATAAGAGTTATGCTGGTAACAATTTGCAAGTGACATGATGGTCAAAAGTCTACTAGTTGTAAAGGAAAATACAAACAAGGTAGTTAAACAGAAAACGCTAGGGTTAAGTTGAAACTGGACAACA